GAGAAGGACGAGGGGGGACAGGATAGCAGTGTTCCCATATCTCAGGGGCTGCCCAAAGAAGAGGGAGTCAAGCTATTCTCCAAAGCGCCTGAAGGCAGGACAAGAAGCAACGGATGGAAACTAATCAAGGAGAGAAGCAACCTAGAACTAAGGAGAAACTTCCTGACAGTAGAACAATTAACCAGTGGAACAACCTGCCTCCAGAAGCGGTGAATGCTCCAACACTGGAAGTTTTTAAGAAGAGACTGGACAGCCATTTGTCTGAAATGATATAGGGTTTCCTGCCTGAGCAGGGGGTTGGACTAGATGACCTTCAAGGTCCCTTCAACTCTATTATTATTATTATTATTATTGTTGTTGTTGTTGTTATTAACCTGAATGTGTTTTTTTTAAACACGGTGTTTCTTTTTTAAAAAATGAAAATGATTACAAATGATACTTCATCTTAACATTAAAAACAGGTTCGTTTAAACAGCACCTTTTCTATTTTCTATGTTTCTTCAACTTCTTTTTCCTGCACTTTTTGATTTTTCCTTGATCTTTCTTTTCTTTTTTTTTAACCTTCCTTTATATTAGTTGTTGCTAGTTTTTGTTTTTTTTTTTAAAAAAATTTTTTTAATAAAAATTATATAAAAAAGGAACAAAAATATCTTAACCTGTCACGTACGTGTTAAGAGTTGATAGAGAGTGAAAGGGCCTGAGGGAGAGCTTTTTTTCCTCTCAAAGCACATTTTAAATAATGAAATTGTATCTGCCCCAGTGCTGGATTATAAATCAGTTTAAAATGGATGAGTCTCTCACATGCAATACAGTTGAGTCCTGCTACTTTGAGATTAAAAAAAAAAAAGTTATTTATAAATTGAACCTTTAATGATTGCAATGAGAAAAATAATCTTGACCATATCCATGTTTCATGCATGGATTTATGCTCCAAAATTTGGAAGCAAGTTTTGGGCAAATTTTCTCTGCTTGTGGTTTTTTTTTTATTATGATTAATATTAATATCTACCCTAAATTGAATATTCAGCATAGTTTTCTTTCAAAACTCCCTTGAAACTGTGTTTAGACAGGGATTCTAAATGGCTGGTGATGGCTAAGGGATTGCAGTTTGTAAAGGAGAGAAGTGTATGTGTGCTTGTGTGTATGAGTCTGTGTGTTTGTGTGTGTATATGTATGTGTGTGCATGAGAAATAATAAAATTTTCTACACTCTTCCCTTAGTGAGCTGTTTGATTACAGTCCTTCATGTGCATTTTTGACTTTTTTGTTCATTTATTTTGGAGGTTTTTTTTTTATTTAAAGTGCTTGTTTCTCTGTGCTAAATTTACCTCAGAAGGATAAGTAATGCCTTAATTTTATCCCAGTTAGTTTTGAGTGTTAACACTTTTGTCAGTTCTCGGGGGCAGAAGTTAACTTTAATTGTATCTTTCTTTAGCATGGTTCAAAACTAAGTTTCACTGAGTTTGCACTTTAGATACCCAAATAAAATTCCCTACGTCTGCCTCCACTTCAAGTTGTACCTCATACAGTCCCAGTTTTCAAGTGTGGCAGGTGATGAAGAACAGTAACAAAGGGAAGAACAGGAATAAGTAGTGCCAAACTGAAAGTTGTGGTTAAATGCTTCTTCTGCCATTAGTGTGATTGTTTTTGGCCCGATCTTTATTTTCTCCATCACCCCCGTTTTATTAACAGTGTTCATAAACTTAGGTGACATTGTTTATTAATACTTTAATAACATATGGCGATATCTGAGAGATCCGGTTTGGTGTAGTGGTGAAGGCATCAGACTAGAAACTGGGGGACCCTGAGTTCTAGTCCCCCCCTTGTGCAAGAAGCCCACTGGATGACCTGGGACCAGTCACACTCTCTCTTAGCCCTAGAAAGCAGACAAAGGCAAACTATTACTGAAAAAAGCTTGCTGGGAAAACTGCAAGGACTTGTCCAGTCTCAGGGAACTGGACACAACTGAATGGAAAGAAAAACTACTATGAATGTATTGTAAATCAGCAGCCCCAAACTTTTTGGTCACCAGGGACCGGTTCCACGGAGAGGGCGTGGTTTCACGTGCTGCCTGCATCCCACGGATGGGGCTTCGCTTGTTTACGCGGCCCAGTTGCTGGCATGCTGCAGACCGGTGGCGGTCCACAGACCAGGGAGTTGGGGACCCCTATTGTAAATAATGTATGGATTCATTTTATAATGATGGATGCATTACCCACTGATACTTTCCCACAATTTTTTAAGGTCTGCGCGTACCCTTCAGCCTTCTTCGGGTGACGAAATTACCACCAGCGTGTCTGTCCAGCTGTACAACGGAGAGACTCAGCCGCTCATCATTAAACTTGAAAATATTGGAACAGAACCTCTGGAGAAGCTGGAGGTTACCTCAAAAATGGTCAACATGAAAGGTTAAATTAGTAGTTTTCCAACTGCTATAAAATCACTCCTGCTCCCTCCCCCCTTCCCGATGTTTTCCTATCAACTGGGCTGATTTGTTTTAGTTTTTTATTCTCTCCATTTCCTTTTTCTAATTGGGATTGCATTTCCTACACACTCTGTTGCTGTCCTAGAAACAGCTGAAGATCATGTTCTTTTGGCTACCATGTTGTCAAATGTTTATAGTTTGGAGTTTGTTTTCCCTTGATAGAGCAATTCTGGCAACTGTTCAGAAATCTAAGTTTCTTTGAAACCTATTTTCTCTTAAAATCTGTCTTAAGTGATGTATGCAGTCGGCCTTCTTTTAAGGTGGTGGGGGGAGAAGTATTACATTTTGTCATGGCCTCACGTACGTCCACCATATTTTATCCCAATTTCATTTGAAATTGTATTTTATTTCTATTTTATCCTAAATGATATTTTAACTAATTCCATTCTAAATTGTTTTTACTGCATTTTTAGTATAACGTGTGTTTGGAACTCTGCACCTTGATATGGCCCACGGGCTAATCAATAAAGATTATTATTATTGACCCCATTCCCCTTGGAAAGGGCGATTTCTGTATTTTGCGTGCAATGTATATTCTGTGTGGTGTTTTCAGTGAACAATAACCATCAGGATGCCATACGTGGTTGGTTTTATTCTTATTAGGAATCTCCAAATGTTCACAGCCAGATCTTACTACATGGGGCTCAAATCCATTAACCTCGATCTGTCTTGAATTTAAAGAAAAGGTATACCATGTAAGATATATATATATATATATATATATATATATATATATATATATATATATATCACTCTTATGAGATGCTTATGTTACATTATGCCATGTGGACTAGAAGAGAATAACTTTATTGTCACTTTAAATGTACACTAATCGGCATACATTAAAATGAAATTTCATTACCTTCAGCTCTCAAGACTGTAGGTGAACAATTGATGGACTGTAGATCCCATTCTGATAGACTGTATATATGTCTTCCTGAAGAGAACTTTGGTGCTGAACAGCAGAACCTGGATAGTTTCTAAAGTTAATTTATATGTTTTATTTACTTAATAAATTTATATGCCACCCATCTCACGCTTTGCAGTGTGCTGTATGTAGTCATGTAAAGTGCGATTATCCATGAGTTCAGTTCCCCGTACAGTAATGGATTTGAATCTCATAGAATAAGATCTGGCTATATACATTTAATGATTCCTATAAGGATAAAGAAGATTAATTTGTGCCTTTTAAATTACCATAGTTTGAATCCAGTATTCCTTTTCTTACCTTTCCACAGATTAACAGACATCTTCCTTTGTCTTTAAAAATTAGAATAGCCTAGCTTAGCCTAGCCTAGCCTAGCCTAGCCTAGCCTAGCCTAGCCTAGCCTAGCCTAGCCTAGCCTAGAATAGAATAGAATAGAATAGAATAGAATAGAATAGAAAAATATGGAATGGAATGGAATGGAATGGAATGGAATAGAATAGAATAGAATAGAATAGAATAGAATAGAATAGAATAGAATAGAATAGAATAGAATAGAATAGAATAGAATAGAAAAATATGGAATGGAATGCAATGGAATGGAATGGAATGGAATAGAATAGAATAGAATAGAATAGAATAGAATAGAATAGAATAGAATAGAATAGAATAGAATAGAATTCTTTATTGGCCAAGTGTGATTGGACACACAAGGAATTTGTCTCCAGTGCATAAGCTCTCAGTGTACATACAAGCAACGAGTGATAAATCGTGATCATAATCACAAAATACAATCATCATAAATCATAAGACACAACATTCAGTGATAGTCATAGGATACTAAATAAGCAATCATAAATCACAATAGGATACTAATAAAAGCAAACAACATAAATTATAAGATACAAACAACAAAGTTATGGTCATAAGAAACTAAGGAGATAGATAATAGGAACGCTGAGAAAGATAATAGTAATACAGCCCCTACTAGGTGGTTTGACCTCCCAGGGCATAAGACAGAGAATTAGTTGTTTAGCACTACTTACAACCGGTTGAGGACTACTCAACCGGTTGTAAGTCGAGGACTACTTAACTGGTGCAGCACCGTTTGCAGAATGGGACTTTTGGCGGGCTCAGCAGGGCAGAGATAGCCTGGACAATTCCTATTGGCTTTTGAAAGCCAATAGAATTAGACTCTATTCAAGAGAGTCTATTCTATTGGCTTTCAAAAGCCAATAGAATAAAAGGGAGTAGCACAGCTAAGGAAAAGGGGGAAAAAATGGCAGACTGCGTTGTTTGGCGACCCCCGTGAAATGGTTGTTCAACCCCAAATGGGGTCCCGACCCACAGGTTGAGAACCACTGCCCTGCAACATCGTCTTGAGGGAAGAAGTTGAAACAGTTTGTGTCCAGGATGTGAGGGTTCTGTAGATATTTTCATAGCCCTGTTTCTTTATCTTGCTTTCTTGCTAAGGAGCAGTTAGGTGTTTAAATAAATGGCAGGCCAGTACTGGGAAATTTTAACTCTTAATGTAACTGTCATTCATGCAAACATAAAGACAAATTTTGATTTGAATACTATATCAGGATGGATTGAAAGCTCCTGTTCTTTTCAAGCAGGGAGATTTATCTGCGCTAATAAACGTAGTTTTTTAAAATCTCCCAATAGGCAATTTTTACACATGTTTTAAATACATCACATATTGTGAAGAATTTCAAGTTCGTTCTAGGCTGATTTTTGACTAGGGCAAAGAAAACTGTTTTCCCTTCTCCAAAATCATATTTTGAGTTGAAATATAGGAATCGTCATTCTTATTACCTTGGGTGGAAGTAGAAGACTTGTGTTTATGAAGACTAACCATAAGAACAAAAGTCAATAACGGAGGGTTCAAATCTTCAGATGCTAACATAATACAGATTTACCATTTTAAATACGTTTTATGGAAATCTAATTCAGCATCAGATGAAGCTTAATTTTAGAGTGCCTTCTAAGTCAACAATTTTTATATTCCATTACCTGAGTAGGAAGGGAAAATCTTTTCTGTTTGTTCCTGAAAATAGTGGACAGATGGAATTCACTTTTTAGTAGCTCTTTTTGTTGTATTACAGGAATATTGAAGGATGATAGAAAGCAGTTTTTTTTTAATTTCTTGAGAAAGCATTAAAATCATTAACATCTCTGCAAATGCTGGAGTGTATGTATTTAACACTGGGTTGAAGGGATATACGTTAATTGTGTTTGCATTTACATTTAACCTCCGTATGTTTTTATTTTAGGAAAAATGTTTGGTGACTTCTTGAGTTGGAATCTAGAAGATACACTCTCACAGTTTCCTTTAAAGCCAGGAAGTATTGCTGTATTTACTGTGTATATTAAAGTCAAGCTTGATTTCTCCTGTCACGAAAACCTTCTGCAGGATCTGAATGATGGTGGGTTAAAGTTTTAACTAATACAATGGCTAAATTTTAATTTTTGACAGGGTTCCAGCTGACAAGCTCAATGTCTTTAACTGTTGAGTCATTGTGTGCTCCCCCCCCCTTTGTAGATGGTATACTGCCTTGAATTGTACCTGGAAACTCACTGGGAGCCAATGCAACTTGTGAAGTAGAGGTGTTATTTGGGTTGCCTAGGCCAGGGGTAGGCAACCTTGGCTCTTTTGTGACTCGTGGACTTCAACTCCCAGAATTCCTGAGCCAGCCATGCTGAGGGGAAAGGGAGAGGTTTCCAAGCTGATGGACTTGCCTATATATTTGAAATTAGCTTTCTTCTCTGCTTGAGTGATGAATTGTTTGGTATTGTACTGTTATAAACACACCACTAAATTGCGGTGACTGTGGACTAAGCAGGCTCTTTTTAGTTTACCCCCAGAGCTCATTAAAACCACCCTACTCTAGAAATTCATAGTACAATGCAAAGAAATGTTATTAAGGTTAAAATATGGTAACCAGAAATGTCATGTGCTACATTAACTAAAATTTCCATATTTGGGAGATGAAAGGTATGAATAATTTTCACTGTCATCTATAAAACACAGATACAGCTTATTTAGTTTTAAAGCATACAGGGTGATTTTCATTTTACTAAACAGGTAAATAGTGTTTAGATTCCAATAATCGCAACGAGGCCCGTCAAACAGTAAATATCATCATGTGTAAAATTAAGAATAATAAAAACAATGGTTACCAGGGAGGACTGCAGTTAGGCTGATCGGAAGAACAAATGTTTTGCAAATAAAAATCTTTAACCAAAGTCTCTGCTCACTGAAAAGATGATTTTACATTTTTAGGACAATCTCCTCCAAAAGGCTGCCAAGTCCACAGCATGAGGTGCAACAAGCAGAGCATTTTCTCAGAATGCAAAATCTCAGAGGCTAACATAGAAGCAGACAGTTTTTCAGTCACTTGCTCCTAAACGGCTTCGTAACCTATGGAACCAATGTTAACTCCTTGAATGGGTTGATAGATGATGATTGGCAGTTAGAGACTGACTCGGAAAGGGTTTGGGAAAATACAAGAAATATTGGTCCCGGCTGCAAGACTTGGGTTTGGCTAGTCTAAAGAAAAGAAGAAATAGGGGAGACATGATAGCAGTGTTCCAGTATCTTGAGGGGCTGCCACCAGCAAGAGGGGGGTCACGTTATTCTCCAAAGCACCAGAGGGAAGGACGAGAAACAATGGTGGGAAACTGATCAAGGAGAGAAGCAACCTGGAACTAAGGAGAAACTTCCTGAGAGTGAGGACAATTAACCAGCGGAACTGCTTGCCTCCAGAAATCGTGGGCGCTCCATCACTGGAGATTTTAAAGAAGAGACTAGATAGTCACTTGTCTGAGACGATATAGGTTCTCCTGCTTAAGCAGGGGGCTGGACTTGAAGACCTGCAAGGTCCCTTCCAGCTTCTATTCTATTCTATTCTATTCTATTCTATTCTTATTCTTATTCCTATTCTTATTCTTATTCCTATTCCTATTCCTATTCCTTGTCCCATCCCATCCCATCCCATCCCATCCCATCCCATCCCATCCCATCCTATTCTATTCTATTCTATTCTATTCTATTCTATTCTATTCTATTCTATTCTATTCTATTCTATTCTATTCTATTCTATTCTATTCTATTCTATTCTATTCTATTCTATTCTATCCCTTATTCTGTTCTATTCTATTCTATTCTAATATTTCCCCATTCTAAGCACCATTCCTTTATTTGCAAAATGTTTAACCAAACTCCGCAATAGAGTAGAGCAGAGCAAAGCAGAGCTGAGCAGAGCTGGAAGGGACCTTGGAGGTCTTCTAGTCCAGCCTCCTGCTCAAGCAGGAGAACCTATACCATCGCAGAGAGGTGAATGTCTAGTCTCTTCTTAAAAACCTCCAGTGATAGAGCGACCACAATTTCTGGAGGCAAGCTGTTCCACTGGTTGATTGTCCTCACTGTTAAGAAGTTTCTCCTTAATTCCAGGTTGCTTCTCTCTTTTACTTTTTTTTTAAAAAGGCATCAGTCTTCACGGCTGTGTAGATGAGTTTGAAAATGTGTTGGGAAAACACTTTTAATGCCCCTAGGTTCTGTGATAATGTTCTCCAGGTACAGACTTGAGGGTAGCCCATACCAGCACAGTTCTGGTATGGAGCACCTTCCAATTCAAATTGGATGAAAAAAGAAGTTCTGGAGAAGTTCAGGAGAAGAAGGACACCCAATTGCTCTGCCCTCCAATGCAGGGCCAGAGGGACCCACACCTTAGTCTTAGAACCAGATAATAATAATAATAATAATAATAATAATAATAATAATAATAATAATAATAGTAGTAGTAGTAGTAGTAGTAAAGTTGGAAGGGACCTTGGAGGTCATCTAGTCCAACCCCCTGCTCGGGCAGGAAACCCTACACCATTTCGGACAAATGGCTGTCCAGTCTCTTCTTAAAAACTTCCAGTGTTGGAGCATTTACTGCTTCTGGAGGCAAGCTGTTCCACTGATTAATTGTTCTCACTGTCAGGAAGTTTCTCCTTAGTTCTAGGTTGCTTCTCTCCTTGATTAGTTTCCACCCGTTGCTTCTTGTCCTGCCTTCAGGTGCTTTTGGAAAATAGCTTAATTCCCTCTTCTTTATGCAGCCCCTAAACTAGACATACCCAATTCTAGCAACCATTCCTTTATGTTTTAGCCTCCAGTCCCCTAATCATCTTTGTTGCTCTTCTCTGTACTCTTTCTAGAGTCTCAACATCTTTTTTACATCGTGGTGACCAAAACTGGATGCAGTATTCCAAGTGTGGCCTTACCAAGGCATTGAAGAGTGGTATTAATACTTCACGTGATCTTGATTCTATCCCTCTTTAATGCAGCCTATCCATTATTTATTTATTTATTTATTTATTTATTTATTTATTTATTTATGAGACTTATATACCGCTTTAAGTGCAAGCACTCTCTAAGTGGTGTACACCAGTAAGCAATGTATATATATATATATATATATATTACATTGCCCCCAGCAATCTGGGTCCTCATTTTACCTACCCCGGAAGGATGGAAGGCTGAGTCAACCTTGAGCCGGTAAGATTTGAACCGCTGACCTGCTGAACACAGTCAGCTAAAGTGGCCTGCAGTACTGCACTCTATAACTGCTGCGCCACCTCGGCTCTTAACCACTGACACACTGTAGGTTGCCCAACTTGGTTGCCCGCAGGCAGGAATCTTGCCAGACTAAAGCACACTCTGCATAAGTATCAGAGATATCCTGTGAAAGGATTAGGGTGGGTTCCTTCTGGGGCCTCTTTCTAGATAGCAGAGATTCAAGGCAGTGTGAGATAAGGGCTATCCAGTCTTTTCTTAACACTCTCCAGTGATGAAGCACCCACAACTTCTAAAGGCCAGCTGTTACTTTGCCTCTTAGTTCCTTGGGAAAGACTTGTAACTCGGGGTCCGATTCCCACCCATTGACCCGGTTAAAGACGATGTAGAGGAGCAGACTCCCTGGAGTCGGTTTTACATCGCTAAGTATACTTGTACCTAATCAAACCAAGAGGAAAGCATTTTTCAGCGTTTTCTAGAACGTAATTGAAAAGCCGCATCGCACAGCGTCTCATAAACCCGGTAATTTCAATAATGCAAGAGGAAAACTGTGTACATAATTCATAAAGTTGCAGTCGGTGCTCCACCAGTTCTTCCAGGCAAAAGTATGATTGTCATATATTGATAAAAATCTAACGACTTCATATTTTAATTAAGAGCCACAGTCCTAAAATACATGGGGTTTATCTTCTACTTCGTTATAAATTGTTTACTATTAAAGCAGTCTTAATAAAGGTAAGTTAATCGCTTGGTTGTACAGTAATGGGTTTTAGTTTAAAATTCATTTGCTGTTTGATGGGCAACGTTAACAAACCCCAAGAATAAACTTGTGTTGTCCTTGGGGTCAGAAGTTTTAGACTGATATAAATAATGTATAATAAAATAACCCCCGCCCCCAGAGAGAAATTATTTGAGGCCATCTGAAGTTTGCTTATGGAAGCAATGTTAATTCATTTCATTTTCCATTTTATTTATTTGTATCCCGCCTTTATAATTTTTACAAATAATTAGACGACGAACATAGCCAACCCACCTTCCTTCCTTCTATTTCCCCACAACAACCCTGTGAGGTGAGTTGGGCTGAGAGAGAGTGACTAACCCAAGGGTAGGCAACCTTGGCTCTTTTAATGACTTGTGGACTTCAACTCCCAGAATTCCTGAGCCAGCATGGCTCAGCTTGGAAACCTCTCCCTTTCCCCTCAGCATGGCTGGCTCAGGAATTCTGGGAGTTGAAGTCCATGAGTCATAAAAGAGCCATGGTTGCCTACCCCTGGACTAGCCTGAAGTCACTTAGCTGTTTTTCATGGGTAAGATGGGATTTGAATTCATAGTTTCCCACTTTCTAGCCTGGTACTTAACAACTAGAGCAGTGGTTCTTAACTTTTTTAATGCTGCGACCCCCAACCGGTCGTAGTCGAGGACTACTCAACCGGTTGTAAGTCGAGGACTACTCAACTGGTGCAGCACCGTTTGCAGAATGGGACTTTTGGCGGGCTCAGCAGGGCAGAGACAGCCTGGACAATTCCTATTGGCTTTTGAAAGCCAATAGAATTAGACTCTATTCAAGAGAGTCTATTCTATTGGCTTTCAAAAGCCAATAGAATAAAAGGGAGTAGCACAGCTAAGGAAAAGGGGGGAAAAATGGTGGACTGCGTTGTTTGGCGACCCCCGTGAAATGGTCGTTCGACCCCAAATGGGGTCCCGACCCACAGGTTGAGAACCACTGGACTAGAGTAAACTAATGTAAATATCCCTGTTTAGAGCAGAAAATGACTGGGGTATTCTTCGGTCTTGCTTTCTGAATCATGAAATTCTTTTTCTTTCTTTCTTTCTTTCTTTCTTTCTTTCTTTCTTTCTTTCTTTCTTTCTTTCTTTCTTTCTTTCTTTCTTTCTTTTCTCCCTCCCTCCCTCCCTCCCTGAGCTTGATTGTTTTCTTATAGACATTTCATTCCCCAACTTGCTGACATTATCATTGAATTTCCTTCCTTCCTTCCTTCCTTCCTTCCTTCCTTCCTTCCTTCCTTCCTTCCTTCCTTCCTTCCTTCCTTCCTACCTACCTACCTACCTACCTACCTACGTGCATGCACAGAGAGAGAGAGGGAGGGAGGGAGGGAGGGAGAGAATAATGGCAATTTAGCCCTTCATATAATTTATGTTCTTGTATGCTGCAGATAAGTAAATTGGAGAAGGTGCACAAGGTATTGGAAAGCTTCTTGGGAGGACCTTCATATCCCAGTTATTCTAGGATTGGAAGATGAACTGTTTGGTTTTTGTTTGTTGTGCTTATTTTTCTCATTCTCACTGAACAATCAATTCATTTCTGGGGTTAGAGTAAGGACTGTTTGTCTGCACTTCATAAGCAGTCAGTGAGTAACGGAGCATGACATCTAACAAAGATCTGGGCACTGATTTATTGATCTTAATTGGGTTTGCAAATGAATACAAGTGCCGTACATCCCAATTTACCTCAGTCATGTTAAAACGTGACATGCAAAATAAATATCAGAACAAATCAATATCAGATATAGCAACTAACATAACAGCTGGTTGGTATTTATTTAAATTGGATCAAAGCTAAAGGTTAAAATCCAATTCTTGCCTTTGAAATAACAGGTTAATAAGCTGTGGTCACCTTTCTCTTTTTAGAGAAAAGCTGCTTGTTTAAAAGTCAATCATTTTGACAGCATAGCAATAAATATCTGCTATGATGCATTTCGGAAGGCAGGTTTTTAGTCCCTTCTGTAATATGTAGAATGGTAAATAGAAGTTTTATGTAAATCACATAAAAATTCATGGTATAATATTTATGTTTATGGTTATTAATATGCTACTTGACAGAAATGAATGCTGTTTTACTGCATTATTTGCATTATTTGGTCACATTTATGCTTAGCATTTATATTACTTTAAAAATAAGTGGATATCTTCCTCCTCAATTTTTTTTTAAATACTGCTTTAGAATAAAGTACTGCCAAAGCATATTATTCCAATTATGAATAAGCTTTGGACGTCTGTACTTTTTGTCTTCACATAGTCAAATCATCTAGCATGTTTAGTTCCGAATTAGCCACAATTTCTGATCACGTTGCAAAACAAAAGAGCAAGCTATGATTTAGTTGCAATTTGCAATTCTTCCAAGCACTTCTCTTGGGATTATTGTCTCCATTCTTTTCAAATGGTGTGATCTTTTCTTTATATTATGTGAGGTATTCAAATTTATTTGAATCGGATTTCACCTTATCGGTTGTGTTAGCGTACCATATAGAATTGAAATTATTCAACTAGATTTTAGCCTATGGTGCTGGAGAAGACTCCTGCGAGTCCCCTGAACTGCAAGGCGATCAAACCGGTCAGTCCTGGAGGAGATCAACCCCGACTGCTCTTTAGAAGGCCAGATCCTGAAGTTGAAACTCAAAGACTTTGGCCACCTAATGAGAAGGAAGGACTCACTGGAGAAGAGCCTAATGCTGGGAAAGATTGAGGGCCAGAGAAGAAGGGGACGACAGAGAAGGAGGTGGCTGGATGGAGTCCCTGAAGCAGGAGGCGTGAGCTTCAGTGGACTCCAGAAGATGGTAGAGGACAGGAAGGCCTGGAGGAACATGGTCCATGGGGTTGTGATAGGTTGGACACGACTTCGCAACTAACAACAACAACAATGGTATTTGTTGACTATAGTTCAGTTTATCCTGTGAACAGTGAAAATTGAGCTTAGTTAAACTATGGGAAAACATACCATGCAAACACGATCTTTAGCTAAGAACCTGGACAGCATCCTAGAAGATGAAATATAGTAATTTTGACCTTTTCCCCATTTTGTAGATGGAATTAGCGTGAGCGGTCTTCCACTTTCCAGTCCCTTTCGACAAGTGATAAAGCCACGTATGGAAAATAAACCTATAAATCCACAGGAAGCCACTAAAGTTGGTGACTTCAGTCACATAAAGGTAGGTGATCAGTCTTGCTGTAATAAGTTTTGCAACTTATATTAAATCAGGAATGGACAGTTGATTTTTCCCAAGGGATCACATGAGAAACTGAGATTGTTGTGAAGGACTGCCGCCACCTCATTCCTGCCCCCTCATCAGTGGTGGGATACTAATCCTGAGCATGCGGTTCTCTGCGTGGATGCAGGCCTGGGCCTCCGAGGCCTAGAATGGGCTTCCGGAAGTGACATCCATGCACTTCTGGTGGGTCGTTCTAGGCCTGGGAGGCCTCCACTAGGCCTAGACCGGACTTCCGGAAGTGACATCCATGTACTTCCGGAGGCCGTTCTAGGCCTGGGAGACCTTCTCCAGGCCTCCGAGGCCTAGAATGGACTTCCAGAAGCAGCATCTGTTCAGCTGGTTGTCCAAACTCAACAAAATTTAGCTACCAGTTCTACCGAACCGGTGCAAACCCACCAATGCCCCTCATCCCCTGCCCTGCCCCTTGCCCCTGCCCTCCCACCACTGCCCCTTGTCCCCCACTGCCAACACCGCAGGCTGGAAAGAGACAGCTGGATGGCCAGATATGGCCCACAGGCCATAAAATGCCAAGGTCTGTATTAAATGCTTTCTACTAGAGTGCAACTTATGTGCAATAGAAAAGAAAACATTTAGCTCAGGGTTGAATTGTGAAGTTCTTGGTACTCTCTGATGGTGGTTATTTGCTTGCAGATATCTCATTATTCAACTAGGTAACATCATCAGTGCTAGTGGGTGTGGTGTTTGCTGCTTGTTTATGTTTATTTATGTATTCAAATGTATACAGCCATAATCTGGGTATTGATTCTTGTTTATCTGAGTATTGGAGGGAATGTATTTTACTCTTTTTGCTCCCTTCCTTTGATTGTTAATGTTCTTTTTTGCAATGATGTGGAAATGTGATTTATATCTATGTGTCCCTTGATAGCTGATTTATTTGAATGCCAAACTTCGGGAATCCCCTAGCATTTTTGAATGTGGCTTGATCTTTGCATCTGAATATCAAGCTTCTTTAGAAGAACTTGTGTACGTTCATTAGGTCGTAAATGAAATAACATATTAAATTGTCCAAGCAAAGGTGGGTTCTCCCATAAGGCTAGGAAAGGACCCCTTGCAATATTCTAGCAGACATTTATACTTTACTAGTTAAGTATTAGCTATTTGACATGTCTCAAACATCTGTCTCCTAATTCACACAATTTAACCCAGGAACTTTTTATAGAAATTACTTATGTCAGCCTGACCTACAAATAAATTCGAGTATATCTTCATTTTCTTTAACATCTTTTACGGCTAACCAAGTCATAAATGAATATATTTGTAGAGCAGTTAAAATTTGGAAATATCTGGTATATCTCATTAAAAGATATTCCATTGTTATTTTAATTTATAGCGCTGCTGCAGGAATAGCAAAAACATTGTTGGAAATGGTTTTTTATGTTGGAATTTCCATGACAGGTCAAGAATAGAACACAGATGGAGCATGAATGTATGAAACTTGCCGTAGGAAAGCAATCTTGGGGAAGAGGATTCTTTCTTTTCTTTCTTTCTTTCTTTCTTTCTTTCTTTCTTTCTTTCTTTCTTTCTTTCTTTCTTTCTTTCTCTCTCTCTCCCTCTTTCTTTCTTTCTTTCTTTCTTTCTTTCTTTCTTTCTTTCTTTCTTTCTTTCTTTCTTTCTTTCTTTCTTTCTTTCTTTCTTTCATCTGTGAAATTTAAATGTATTAAATCTAATAAACTTTTTAAATGCCCCAAAAGAGGCATGCTATGGGGGCCAAAGAACTTTGGCTGGCCCTGGATCCAGGAGAAGAGCCTTTTCTGCTTTGGCTTTCACTCCCTGGAACATCATGGTAGAGCCGTGGTGGCGCCGTGGTCAGAATGCCGTATTGCAGGCTAATTCTGCCGACTGCCAGCAGTTCGATTCTCACCGGTTCAAGGTAGACTCAGCCTTCCATCCTTCTCAAGGCGGTAAAATGAGGATCCGGATTGTTGGGGGCAAGATGCTGACTCTATAAACCGCTTAGAGAGGGCTGTAAAACACTGTGAAGCGGTATATAACTCTTATAGCTTATTCTATTCTATTCTATTCTATTCTATTCTATTCTATTCTATTCTATTCTATTCTATTCTATGTTCTGTTCCGTTCCGTTCCGTTCCGTTCTATTCTCTCTTCTCTCTTCCCTTCCCTTCCCTTCCATTCCATTCCATTCTATTCTACTTGGTGACACACTGATTAGAATGCAGTATTGCAGGCTAATTCTGCTGACTGCCAGCAGTTCGATTCTCACCGACTCGAGGTTGACTCAGCCTTTCATCCTTCTGAGGTCGGTAAAATGAGGATCCAGATTGTTGGGGGTCAACATGCTGACAGTAAACCACTTAGAGGGGGCTGTAAGGTCCCTGTGAAGCGTTGCATAAGTCCTATTGCTTTGGTTACCCTGCTCCTCAAGCTGAGAACCAGCCCCACCCTTTTGACCTTCCCAAAAAGCCTCGAAATCTGACTTTGCCGATGGGACGGCGGCCGCAATGCTGGCGCTTAATAGAACGCGAAGACGATTCCACCTCCTGCCTATGTATTGGTTTCCTATTTTGGGCCAGTCCTTGTTCATGTTTAATGCTCTTCTTTTGAGCGCTTTCTTCACCTTTTAATAGTTGAACGTTCCTGCTTTGACGCTGTCGCAAGCCGCCCAGTTTCGCTCCGACCCGGGAGAGGGCGGCCGTACAATTTGTAATAAACAAATAAAATCGATTGACGTCCCTTAGAGAAGTGGGCTTTAGCTCAGTGTTTCCCAAACTTGACAATTTTAAGGCATGTGGACTTCAACTCCCAGAATTCCACAGCCAGCGTTGCTGGCTGTGGAATTCTGGGAGTTGAAGTCCTCATGCCTTAACATTGTCAAGTTTGGGAAACACTACGTTTAGCTCATCATGTTTAATCAGCCGGGACGTTTCGCCCACCGCTTGCCTTTTTCCTCCTTATCGCATCTGCCCGCCTTGCGCCGCGTAAGGGGAGCCTCGGCGGGGAGAGGTCAGAGCCTTGTCGTCTCGCCTGCGCCGTCGATGTTCATTTTGAACGACACGAAAGGGAGGAATTGAAATTCACCCCGGGTAAGCACGAGAGGAGTGCGTCTGAGGCCAAGTGCTCAAACGCAGCCTTGTCGGACTATTTTTAGAACGCTGCTGTCGATCCGGCGCTGTTTAAAGATTCAGCTGAGATTGCTAACGGGGGTATTTATATCCACTCTTGTCCGTTGCCACACGCCGCATAACCTCACTTGGAGGGGATAATTCTATTCCCGGAGACCCTGCCACAGTGACTCTGGCTCCCTGCATTTAAAGACACGTTCTACCTCCATATATACTTTCCTGAAACATACAGTGCCATATTAATATACGTACATACATACATACATACATACTAACTTTGTTGTTGTTGTTGTTAATTGCGAAGTCGTGTCCGACCCATCGCGACCCCATGGACAACGTTCCTCCAGGTCTTCCTGTCCTCTACCATCTTCTGGAGTCCATTTAAATTCACACCTACTACTAATATTAACTTTACGGGCAAATAACCCACTTAGCGATTTAAGGCAGGAGTCCATCAGCCAGTTAAAGCTGTCTGGCTTTTTCAAAGAGTTTCTCCTGTCAGTGTAAAACCTAAACTAAAAGTAGAACGCTTTGAGTTATTTCTGGATAGCGTTGTAGATTTTTTTCCCCCCTTTTTTCTTTATCCAGAGCTAGAATTTTTATTTGTTTGCCAATTCGGGGGGGGGGGGGGAAGAAGCCCCACTGTTGCTAGGAAACAGATATTTCAGAAAGTGAGCTTGGGCAGGCAGTTGCCATAGCATTGCACTCGCCGAGCAAATACAGCGTCTCTCTTTATTGCTTCCCCAGATGGGCTGGGCGTGTATGTATTTAGATGTGAGTGTGCGTCCTGGTGTGAGTGTGTGTGCACATTTGAATTTTGCTCAGAACTGTGATGGTAGCTGTGTGGAGCTCAGGCACCTGGGGTGAGACTTGAAGCGGTTTTGAACCGGAAAATGGCTTGACATAGGAAGAAGAAGTTGTACTACTTACATACTCCTGGAAAACAAGTTGCGCTTTGATGCATTGAGCTCAATCAGACTAGAGCTGGAAGGGAGCTTAGAGGTCTTCTAGTCCAACCCCCTGCTCAAGCTAGATTACAGTGTTTCTCAATCTTGACAATTTTAAGGCATGTGGACTTCAACTCCCAGAATTCCCCAGCCAGCATTGCTGGCTGTGGAATTCTGGGAGTTGAAGTCCACATGCCTTAAAATTGTCAAGGTTGAGAAACACTGTTTGCTGGCTGAGGAATTCTGGGAGTTGAAGTCCACAAGTCATAAACTGGCCAAGGTTTGGAACCTTGATATTGGTGTATCAGTGTTTCTCAACCTTGACAATTTTAAGGCATGTGGACTTCAACTCCCAGAATTCCACAGCCAGCAATGCTGGCTGTGGAATTCTGGGAGTTGAAGTCCACATGCCTTAAAATTGTCAAGGTTGAGAAACACTGTTCTAGAAGGTCTTCAAACATTTTTTTTAACCTACTTTCGTTTTGTTTTTTTCCAATCAATCAATCAATTAGAATACAGCTGGAAGGGACTTCATTGGAGGTCATCTAGTCCAACCCCCTGCTCAAGCAGGAGACCCTATACCAGCGGTTCTCAACCTGTGGGTCAGGACCCCATTTGGGGTCGAATGACCATTTCACGGGGGTCACCAAACCATGCTGTCCGCCATTTTTTTCCCTTTTCCCTAGCTGTCCTACTCCCTCTTATTGGTGGCCACACCCACTTGGGGGTCACCACAACATGGGGAACTGTATTATGGGGTCACGGCATTAGAAAGGTTGAGAATCACTGCCCTATACCATTTCAGATAGGTGGCTGACCCCCCCCCTCTTCTTTGCGGCAGCCCCTCAAATACTGAAAGACTGCTATCATGTCCCCCCTAGTCCTTCTTTTC